GTCAACATGAGAGACGGGACGCTATGTCTGTCCTGGCGCCTCGGAGACTTCCGAGGTAATCACATCCTGGAAGGAGTAGCTAGGGCTCAGTTGGTACGCTATGTCAAACAGCCATCCGGGGCTATTGTGATGTCCTGTCAGGACGTGGACATCCAGAACAGGGACATCCTCCTGGTCACACCAATCACTTTAATACACAGGCTGGAGCCAGGAAGTCCACTCTACGGTCTGGGCCCAGAGGAGCTGCAGAGAGACAACTTTGAGCTGGTGGTGTCCTTCACCTACACCGGAGACTCTACTGGTATGCTCCATCAGACACGGACGTCCTACACACCAGCAGACATCTGCTGGGGCCAGCGCTTCAGGGACATGTTTAAGGTGGGCAAAAGGCACTACAAGGTGGACTACGCCCTGTTCAATGAGACCACGTGGGTGTTGGTGCCACTGCTCAGTGCAGAGCAGTACGACGGAGAGAGACGTCCAGAGGAGACCGCACTGTCCCGGCACAACTCAGTAAAAAGAAATGGACACACTTTCCAGATGAATCTGGACATCACAGAAGACGTGGCACAGCAGACCTGTCTGTAGCTGCAGCTGAGGTTTAGACTCTGAGCAGGAGCTCATGTAAATATGTTCATATGCGAATCTTTATGGACTGTAACGTCATTAATACGTCATATACATTTAATTTGCATCAAATGAATTAAGGTGAAGTTAAATCAAATTAAAATTCAACCGTTTTCAAATGTGTTATGTTCCGCTTTCCTCTTTTAACCATATAAATCCGTTTCACTGGCCTGAATGTGTAGCTGTATGCTGCCACACTGTGGCCACAGTTCACAATTACAGTAAAGGTTTTCTAGGGCACCGCTTAACGGAATGATTTTAAATACAGTCCAGTCAATAATTTTATAACTATATACACACACTAGAAATGTTTATTTTTTGCTAAATTTATTTCTTGTAAAAATATATGCATATTTTATTTATTAACTGCACTTTTACCAGATACACACACTTCATAAATATCTTACAAATGATGTGATTTGGTAAACTTTTAATAAATTATTATTTTTTAAACTATAGGCCATAAGACAAATGTACTAACTCACATTTGATGATAGTATAACCTCTAGTTACCATAATTTTCATAACTGATTTGCAGGAAAATAGTTATAGCTTTTTAAGTGTTTCTTCTGCTTTTACTATTTATCTAAACACTGTCTTGTCTAACACGTATATATTTGTTGCTCTTAAACTTTTCTTTGCTAACATCTTTCGGTCATATCGTTGTGGCCACGGTCAAGCAAAAAGTGGTTTTCTTTAATGATAGCATATTCTCAGCTTACATCTATGATAGCGACTATAGCATGAAAAGAGTGGTGCCTGTTGTAAAATAACGTATAGCCTACCTTAAATATAGCACATTTGAACGAGTCTTGTAAATAGTCCAATATTGACCGTGATTTAAAAACGCGCCATGTTGTGTAGACATCTGTGGTGGCTTTTTATTTTGCTCTAATGTAAAAGACTACATGTTAAACAATATTTTTTTTAAAAAACTTGTTCATTTGTAAACTACTAATCGTGGGATCAAGTATCAGAGGTGAAGATGTTTGCCCTCTGGTGTACTATGTCATATACAGTACAATGTTTTGACACCCGATGATATTCAACCACGACAGAAACCCTCCATAAGCGCTCGGAGGCGAGAACAGGCGCTGCAGCTCCTCATTGGTCAGAGCAGCCAGAGGGGCGGGGCTCAGACACACGTGGTTTTCTAAAGTCAGTGTTTCACCAATACGTTCGTCACTGCTGCCGCTGCTGAGACGGTTATGGCAGAATTTACAACGGATGACGAGAAAGTGAGAGGAAATAACAAACGAGCAACGAGCAGAGAGAGGAAGTCTGTACATATGGAACACATGGAACTTTACGAACGGAGAGAACGGCACATTCGCGCTGCGATGACCAACAGGTAGGTGGAAAGAGAAAGTTTTATTTACGGCACAGATGAGTTTGGTGATGTTGCAACAACCTGCAATGACTATCCAAGCAAGATGCAAATAGATTTGATAGTTGATCATATTGTTTTGTGTTATAAATGCATGAATTATATCAGTTAATGCATCATTATGGCTGATGTTTTAATTTTTTCTATCAATAATAATAATAATAATAATAACAACGTTACCACTGTAAGTAAAAGTTTTCTTCATGTTTGTGTTCTTAACAAACGTTGACTTATCTGTGCATAAGGTCATTTCAAATTAGTTCTATAAACAATAAAGCAGTTTAGAAAATATTTTTCTAAAGAAACAAATGTGCATTAAATCCTCAATCAAGTGCACGTCATGCAGTGCAGTGTGATACTGCAAAAGCTGGGGACAAAGAACTCATCTGCCAAACGACCGGCCATACTCATTGATTTCTGTAATAAAAAATAGAGCGGCTTTATGTAACCAGTTTCCAACTGCCTCAGCTGTTGCAGCTGATTGAAAACACATGCAAAACAAACAATGGCAGGTTGTGCAGCCTCTGGAAGCAGCTCTGTCTTCATGCACCCACTTGTGCTATTAGCACGGGTGTGAAATAATGAACAAAACAAGAAGAAATAACTCAGGAAATAAAGATTTAGAAGACGAGCAAATCTAAAAAGAAAGAATTTCAGAGGCAGTCCAATATTTTAATTAACCTCATTGTTGAATTTTCTTTACTTATCATGAGAAAATAAATGCAACTTACAAGTAGGAAACCAGTGATCTATAAGTGGAAAATCTATAGCTTGCAGTATATTTATGTCCGACATGTCTGGACTTCCTGTGTCCACAGGAAAATGTCAGCCATTCGTGGACGCTGTTGTTCAATGTCAAAATCGCAGCACTTAAAAGACTTTACAATCTGAGAAATCTAAAATCTTTGGCCGCCCCAGAGGTGTGAGTGAATGGAGCTGCATATTCCCAGTAGGGTGTGTGACCAAGGATTCTATTTGTAGTCAACATAGCTGTGACATCATCAGTTGTGAAAGCGGGGGAACATTTTATACAGTAAAACACAACTCACAACACGTGAGCGAAGCAGACAAACACGAACCAAACATTTTATTAGAATGGCTGTGAACGACTTCAGTTCATTTACTGTGTTAATACATGGCCTGTATTACAGCACTTCACAAGAGATCTTTTTTTACTTTTTAGCTGGTCTTGCTTACAACAACAAACAACTCAAGTATTTCTCATCTAACATTTGGCTGACTTGTATTTATTTATTTATTGGATTTTTAAAAAAATGTTTTGTTGTTGCTTTTTGGCCTATTCTGGGAATTTTTTTATTATTATTTGTTTTATCACTGTTTATTTATTTTAGCAAATTCCAGGCCAATAGTTACACTAATAGCAGTCTTTTTTTAATGATGTAAAATCAAATCTAGATTCTACAATTGTACTGTTGGTATTTTGGGTTATTACATTAATAATTGATAAAAAAACATAACATAAGAGTTTTAAGATGTAATTAAAAATATAAGCACTGATATATATATATATATATTTAAAGTAAAACAAATACACAAGTAAATAGTTTTAAGCTTCAGCTCCTGGATGTAAACGACACGTTTGCTCAGAACTGACACTGGTTCCAGCCGCTCAGAGGATTGACGTGAACTTGAACAGTAATTTGACTCAGCCTTGTGCAGACTGACATGTGTATTACTGTCAGGGTACTACTGTAAGTAATACTTACTTACAATTACAGGGGGCAAATATAAGTAAAAAAGGTGTGTCTGTTGTTTTTTAAAAATTATTTTCCTTTGCTTTTTTTTGAATTGGTTGCATAAAGTGTGACGGTGCATACACAGATAACATTTGTCAACTTTTGTGTAGTGTAACAATCTATTATTCAAGCAGCAGGTAACCACACACCAACTTTGCTCCGTCTCCTGCCAATTACTTTAAAACTGTTTTTGTCTCTGTCTGTAATTTCCACAGCCCACTTCACTGATGAGGCCAGTCGTCAGCGTGACCTGGTCAGCAGTGACCTGTCCTCACCAAGAGTGAACGACGCGCTTGCTAAGCTCATCTCCTCCCTGGCCTGTTGCCGGCAGGATCTCGACCTGGCGTTCACGTTTTCTGCCTGACTTTGTCCATTAGATCATTCAAAACTGTTTCTCCAACGCTTCTTTCGAAAACTGAGACTGTTTTCCAAAGCAGAACCGGCCCAGCCCTCCCAGATGGACGTTATGGGGAGTGTGCGAAGCCACCGCTACAGCATTGTGTCCTCTGAGGAAGATGGCATGAAGCTGGCCACTATCGCTGTCCCGAACGGCTACGGGAACGGCAACATCAATAAGGTGCACGCGGCGCACCAACGTCAGAGCCGCTTTGTCAGGAAGGACGGTCACTGCAATGTGCAGTTTATCAACATGAGCGAGAAGGGCCAGCGGTACCTGGCAGATATCTTCACCACCTGTGTGGACATCCGCTGGCGCTGGATGCTGCTCATATTCTCCCTCTCTTTTCTGGTCTCCTGGTTGTTTTTTGGGTTTGTCTTCTGGTTAGTGGCCCTGTCTTATGGGGACCTGGAGAGTGAGACTCAAATGTGTGTTTCCAATGTGGACAGCTTCACCGCTGCCTTCCTGTTCTCTGTGGAAACCCAAACCACAATTGGCTATGGCTACCGCTACGTGACAGAGGAGTGTCCCATCGCCGTCTTCATGGTGGTCTTCCAAAGTATTTTGGGCTGCATCATTGACGCTTTCATCATCGGCGCCGTTATGGCAAAGATGGCCAAGCCTAAGAAGAGAAACGAGACACTGGTGTTCAGCCACTACGCCACAGTGGCCATGAGGGACAGCAAACTATGCCTGATGTGGCGTGTGGGAAACCTGAGAAAGAGCCACCTGGTGGAGGCCCATGTGAGAGCTCAGCTGCTAAAGTCCCGCACCACCGCAGAGGGAGAGTTCATCCCTCTGGACCAGGTGGACATAGACGTGGGCTTCGATAGTGGCATTGACAGAATATTCCTGGTGTCTCCCATCACCATTGTCCATGAGATAGACGAGGACAGTCCCTTCTACGAGATGAGCAGACGAGACATAGAGTCGTCAGACTATGAGATTGTTGTGATTCTCGAAGGCATGGTGGAGGCCACCGCCATGACCACGCAGTGTCGCAGCTCGTACGTGGCCAGCGAGATTTTGTGGGGCCACAGATTCGAGCCGGTGCTCTTTGAAGAAAAGAGCTTCTACAAAGTGGACTATTCCCGCTTCGACAACACCTACGCGGTGCCCAGCACCCCTGACTGCAGCGCCAGGGAGTTGGCTGAGAAGAAGTCAGCCGCGTCCAGCGTGAGGAACTCATTTTGTTATGAGAATGAAGTGGCTCTGGAGAAGGTGGAGATGGAGGAAGAGTTAGAGGAGGATGTGGAAACACAGATTGGAGGTGCAGAGGTGGGGGCGCCCGAGAACACAGGCCTAGATGAAGTGTCAGAATCCGAATACAATCTGGACTCCACAGACTCCAGATGTTTGACAACCGAATCAGAAATGTAACGGCACAGAAGGAAGGTTCTAACCATGAGGGGGTTTAGAAAAAAAATGCATGAAAAATGTCTGATCTAAGGTCCAGGTTTTGCAGATGATCTTGTTACGTGAAGCTAAAAAGATTGAGACGCCTTCAGGTACAAACTGAAGGAGTCTGTTTATGTTATGATTTGCAAACCACAGAAGTAGATTAGCTGATTGAATTGACTGTATTGTTAATTTATTCAAATTTATATTTCACTTTTTACTTTTTGCGTGTAGCATCCTGCATGTAAAAGGTTTTTTTTCTGCTGTGTGAGCCCAGCATCACACAGATTGTCTCTAAAGAAACTGAATATATTTTATTTAAAGGGGAAATGTGAAGATTTTAAATGCCAAAGACATATATTTTTAATTACTTAATTAATGAATAAGTCGAGCTTGTCTTGAAACAGTGGTTCTCAAATGTGGTTCCCAGGTTACCCTAGTGGTTTAGACCCATAATTATAGTCCAAGTAATCATGATAATGCAAATATTATTGAAAAAATACCCAGAAAAAGAATGTTTTAGGGCAGAACTAGTCAGTACTGATATTAACAATATTATCTACACCTGCAATTTACAAGCACTTTAAACTCGTGAAAAACCAATTTTGATGAAGTCAAAAGTATGGAATAGATTAAGACCGGATTCACAGACTCAGATTTGAAGTTTAAGGTCTTACCTTGAAGATATTTTTCAAAACTTAAAATTTTAAAAACCCTTAAGACTAGACTAGACTAGAAAAACAATCAGATTTAATAAAAATGTAGACTAATAATTACAAAACCTGAGCACCAAAACCTAGATTTAAAACTATTTAAATTGGCCCAAACATACTTTTGTGACTTTAAGTCTAACTTGAAACCTTGGAGACTTGACTAAAACATCTATGAGTACTAAATACCGAAGTACTATTTGGCAATGACTACAACCTTTTGCTCTAAAGTTAAAGTTTTTGGGGGCAAATTGGTCTTTGATCTCAGGTCAAGCCCTTAGACTTGAAGGACCGAAACTCGGACTTCCCCATTTGAGGAACATTGTTTTAAAACACGCTCGCATGTGACTTTAAAAAAAAAACAAAAAAACAAAGAGCTCCAAAAGGCTACTGTTTTAATGAGCTGGTCTCTGAACGTCAAATTCTTCTTCAACTCCATGCTCTGGATGTGAGTTTGCGAAACAAAAGGCTGCTACATTCTTTAACCTATCATTTTCTAAAGTATGGAACTTTCGCAGCACGTGATTGTAGAAACGTCTCAGCCCTGATGGGGGCACTATGGAGAAGGTTCAGATTTAATCAAACACACACTGTATTAGCTGCCACAGAGTACGGCGATTATATACGACTCACTGTACAGTATGCTACCACGTCTCGCAGGTCTTCATGTTCTAATGTGCAATACAGTGAGTGGTAGAATGTGACGGGAGGCTCCAGTCTGAGCCGTGGTACTGAATGTTTGAGATAAGTGCTGCTACGTTACCTGTTGTAAGTTTAGAGAGAACTCTAGGAGCCAAAAATGTATTATTTGTCTTTTAAAGTATCTATTTTGAGAATTACAAATGCAGACTGTAAAGTTATTTATAGACGTAGGCGAGCATGATTCTGTCAGTGTGTTTTTACAGCTTTTTCTCCAGCTTTCCATGATAGGTATACAGTACAGAGTTGCTGTTGTTTTTTTTTTTATCTCAACCAAATGTCTCTCATGTTGGATGAAAATCTGGGCTGGCTTTGGAACATTCTACAAACCCCATTTCCAGAAAAGGTGGTACGCTGAAGTTGGTTTTGTACAAGCTAACGTTTGGAGATTGGTTTTACTCTTAACCTGAAAACAAGAAGAAGAAACAAATGTATAAATGGATGTGTTCAACACAAAAAAGTTTGGACAAAGGCAAAGTTAAACAGCAGGTGACATTCTGGGAGGCTTTCTAATTTAGTAATGTTTAGTTAGTTATGAGACTGGTCTCTGCAGCTAAGGTTGGGTTGTGGCCGATCACTTCGTTAGAGAATCCATAGTTTCAGGAGTCAGGAAAAAAATAATCTGTAAACAAAGGTTGTCTTCTTGGCCTTGACGACAAACTTTGGACATGTGTTATATCAACTACTTCACTTCTTTTCCACCAATACGTTAGTTTTCTCTTTCCTCATCATACTGAGGATGAGCTCCACTTATTATTGTTCACTTATTATCAAAAACCTGGCCTCAGTCTTAACTATAAAAAAACCAAACACTTTCTGTATTTTGTCACCTGCATGCTTGGTCAACCAGTGAAAGCTATAATTCTGTCCTTCTCCCCTGGTGGTGATCTCTAATATTTACGCTATTTTTATTTTTCTACCGAGGTCTTCCTAACTTCCTGTACACGCCATGTACACACTGTGCAGTTTTTTTTTTAAATTATTACTATTATTATTTTGTGAATATTAATGTAAATAATGTACATTGTCATGTTTGTTTTTCAATAAAACTTTGAAATCATCAACATGTTGACCGATTTATTGTTTGATAAAAGCGTCAAAGGTTTGAAAAACTTTATATCCAGTGTTTTGTGCCGGATATTTTTTTCCTTTTTTCCTTCAAGGTTTTCCAGACTGTCAACATTCACGTCATCACTTAATGAATCTTAAACTGACTCACTCAGACTCCGACAAAGTCCTTGGAGACACTGCAGTATCAGCTGACACAGCTGGAAATGACAGCAGTGGAAAAAACATTCTTGACGTTCTTCATCTCTTACTGTAAATTGTGGAAAAGAAACGTGTGCAGTGGCGTTCTGATCTGTGAAGTGTGAATTGTTTCAAATTAAAACAACCGGCTTTCCTCCTCTGACTCTGTGGGAATGGATAGTTTTACGGCGTCTACAACTTTGGATTGAATAATTAATAACTGACACTAGTGCAAACAAAGAACCAATTCCTCCAAGCAAAAATAATAATAAAAATCCAGCGTGATCAATATGTTTTTATACACAGTATGAGACCTCTGTCAGCGTGTTCAGCTGGTGTTCATCCACATCTGTGTTCTCTCAGCCAGAGACACAGTCAGGAACCTATTGATCAGACCTGTTCCAGTGAGCCGCTGTGATTCGCTTCTATAGGAAGTTGCTGCTGCCCCTGGGCTTTTTCCATGTTAGCCAATGAAATGTGGACAAAGCTCTGGGTTAGGCTCAAAATAGAGGCACTCAAAAAAGGGATATTCTCTAAATGATTTAAATTCACTGCCTTCTGTTTTTAAAACATGATGACCAGCGTCTGGTTCAACAGAATCTTAACATTTGAGCATCCAAAAAGCAACTTATTAATTTCATCAATCTGCAGCATTTATGTTGATGTATTAGGATGGATGCTGTGTGAAATATCAACCAGCTTCTTTGGCCACTGAGCCCCTTTGTCCCAAAGTGGGTTCCCTGAACTTTGTCAACCTGTTGGACCTTCAGGTTCCTTTATTAGCTGCATGAAGTGAAACAGAACCAGTCAAACCTACTGCGACAACACCAGTTTCTAATTAATCTGTTTTCTGTCACGTTGGGCAAATAAAACGTCATCCACGCCTCAGACCTCAGCGTGAACCGATAAAGAGTGGAGATATAAGCAGCCCAAGTGCACTTGTCCTTCTGTTACCCCGTGTAACGTCTCAAGTTTTCCTCTGTTTTATATCAGCCGCCGTCGCTGACAGCCGATTTATACACATAATTTTTGAGAGTGTAAAATCGCAGACACATTTATTGCTCAGGAGGAAGTCTCTCCCATCTTTCCTGAACATATTTAGAAAGTGTTTTATATCTGAAACAGGGATCTGTCTCCGATGTCTCTTCTTATTGCGGCCTGTCAGGTTTTTTTAGGAGGCAAAGAGTAACTTTGGGGTCATGATGTGTTCATCTTTAATACCATTGTCAGCATGACTGACATTAGAGCAGTGTACAGATGCATGTTTGCATGGTTTATGGTTCCTATTCGGCGTAAATATTATTCGGCTCGGCAATCGTCAACCTAATGTAACTTGGTGAGGAGTATCTGCAGTCCTTGGAGACCTCAGTCAGTTAACTCGGTTGTGAGAGAATATGAAGAACTAGGATCACTCCACCAAGAAGTTGGCATCGAAGGACCAGAGTCAGACTGAGTCAACAACTGGGAGGAAATGTTGAGCAATCACTGAAAATGTCCTAAGTGTAGCAGTGCAGTGTGTTCAGCTTCTTCCACAGTCCTGGTTTGTTTCTCTCGGTGAACGAAGTTGTCACATTAGCCATAAAAGCAAAGACCCAACTACAACGCAGGACTTAACCACAGTCAAAAACACACACACACAAACAGGGGTATGTCACTGTCTGAGCAAACACTAGATACATCCCTATAAAGTTTACAAAAAGACATGCAAAGTGGTGTCCTCAAAGAAACAAGTTAATGTTGCACAGCACTTGTAATAACATGTTGAGTACATTGAGAGGTTCAAAAAGAGGGGTCTAACAACCCATCCCTGTAGGTTTGCTTTTCATATATGTTCTGGGATTACACTCTGCAAACAACTGGGCAATTAGCACAATTCTGCCCTGCGTCAAAGAAGCTCTTGTTGTTTCCACTATGCAGTGTTTGCTGGCATAAGACAAGCTTTGTGTTTAAATGAGTCAGGCTAAATATTCACGCACAGTTCGTACACCAAATCACAGATGTGAGGTTCCTGTTTTAAGCAGCCTCTCCAGCTTTCTGTGATTTCCAAGAAATTAGTACAATATTACTGACTGGAAAATGTAGCTGTAGTAGCAATGACGTCCACCGACGGTAACCGGTTCAGGCAAAGTGACTAATGGTCTTTGGAAGTTGAACTAAACTTTCAAAGCTTTCCTCTGGGGATGAGAATGAGCCAAGTTTGCAGGACATGATGATGTATTTGAGGGACGTCTGGTATTTTAAACTATAGTCCGAACCTGGAATCTAATCATTTCAGGTCACTTCAGAAATGATTACTGTCTTTATTCACAGCCCTGACACCTCGCACTACATATAACAGAACAAGTGAAGCTAGGTGCTCTGGTGTTTCTCCTGTATTACAGTAATTATTTTTATTTATATTCAAAAGGTTTGACCTGCTCTTTGACGTTCAACTTTTAAAATAATTATGATGTTGTAACATTAAGCAGGACAAGACCACCTGTGTTGGACCATATCAGACCCTGCTCCTGGGAGTCTCTGGTTCACTATGGTTCACACAGGTAGGATATTTGAACTGGGGGGTGCTATAATCATCTGAACACATAATGTTGTAATATTTATATTTATATTCAAAAAGGTTTACTTATATTTACATATTTATATTTATGTATTTTATATTATCAAATGGGTGTCGGGGCACTCTGTTTTGCTTGATTTCCTGCAGTGGAAAGTCTTACTGAAGATGTTTGGTTCAAGTAAATATTGTTTTTTCAGTACTCTCAAATACCCTAATGTTTATCTTATCATAACAAAGGAAATATCATCACTGCTCCCACCTGTTGTCACCTCACACTCAGCCAAATTACAATACGGAGCATCTTCCCAAGTTGTAAACAGCAGATTTCACTGCAAATGCCTGTGGTGATTTATATGTGAATAGGTGAGTGATGAAAGCTATTCATGTATTTGCAATGCAACTGCATAAATTAAAAAGAAAAGCGTATGTTGGCCCAGATGTGTAATCTACTAAAAACCTCCAAAATCATTTCACTCAGGATTAAACGTCAGTTAAAAACATTTTGCCGTTTAATCATCTCTGACTTGACGCAGTGAAACCTCAGGTGCACTGCACACAAACTACTCACAAAAATCACATTATACCAGCTGGGATTCAAACTGATGACTTTTTTGCAGTGAGGCAAAAGTGAGAACCACTATGTCACTGTGCAGCCAGAGTCATATGAAACATATCAGTGATCTGATGTGATAAGGTGAAACCCATTGGTGGATATCTGTGCATTAAGTCTTTAATTATATAACCTGACAACAAAAAATATTTTAATTTTCTACATCAGTACTGCCACATACTCTCTTTTTTACCCTTGTCCTGTAGAGTTTGTCAATTGTTTTGAACGAACACTAACACTACGCGTTCACACCAACACTCTCTTACACGCACACACACACACACACACACACACACACACACACACACACACACACACACACACACACCTACCTTCTGACACTCATTTTGGCTTGATGTTTGACAGCTGAGTGTCTCATGACACTCGGGGGAGGAATGGCAGAATCCAGCAAGTACAATATGTTGGATGGGATTCAGGCTTTTTCCATTCCCTGAGCCTGCTGAAAGACAATATGTATATTTATCCATGGCGGGCGTGTCTGGTCACCCAAGCTGCAACAACAAAGAATTTGGCACATAGCTACTTACACATGCATTTACATCAGTGTTCACTGGATTTGGTGTCGGTTCATTTCTCTCTTTTTCCTGCATTTGAAAAAAGAAGAAGAAAGGAAATGACATCAGTGTTGAATTCATTCATACTTTTCCTCTCACGCTGTTGTTTACTGGTAAATACCTGGTGCATTTTTCGCACGGCTGACCTTTACGCTGCTGGCTCGGCCTCCTTTAACCTTGACAAACGCATTCAGAGCCAGGAAACAAAAGTGATACCCACTTTATGTCCGTCGTTGGCCCAGGGCCAGCGGCAGCTCAGTGTGAGGGTATTTGGCTCGGTGTGGTGTCACACTGTTGCCTATAATGGAGGTCCAGCAGCAAGTGCAGTGCAGCACTGATCCTTGACTTCCATTTATGCCGCCTGACACCATCATAACACACCCTGCTGGTATTGTCGATCCATTTGAAAACAGTTTAACATTATAACTCCTGCCAAGTTACATGGAGTGGGACCACGGAGAGCTTTCTCCTGCCTCCTGATCTCCCACTCCTCTAAGAGATCACTTCTTGTCCTGTCTGTGATAATGCCGCTGAGCCCTTTGCCAAAACCCAGACATCAACTACAAAGTAATATTTCAATATAAAAGTGTTTTCATGAATCATTTCAAGATTGCAGGATTTTTTCGTCACAGGAGATACTGGAGCGGGGCTTGTTTACCAGGACAGCTGAGGAGACATCGATACGTCTGAACTGTGTCCAGCCCTTCAGAGAGAAAGGTTACCACCAAACTGGTCCGGCCAGCCAGCCATTATGTTCAGGCATTGTAGACAGGCACAGCATTGTCAGACATGTGCTGGATGTAACTTAATCAAAGTGTTTTCTCCGAGTTTACGGCTCAGTGCGAGGCACTCCTCCTTGTTTCACACGTACAGAAATGTGCAAACGTTTCAGGCAGCTGTATATATTTACATCTTTTATTAATGGACGTTAGATCAGCCATCCAAATTAGGCTCTCAAGGCACGTCCTTGGTTGCTATCACTAGGGAGGTCCGGGAGGGGGTGTGGGGGGAGGGTGGAGGGGTTCCTCGGAGAGCGGAAACAAGACCTCTGCTCTGGCTGAACAGGTCCAGCAGCCTGGCTGCCACACAGAAAGAGCAACCGCCAGTGGCAGTCCACGACCCAGATGTTTGCTTTGCATTGTTGAGGAGAAATTCTTCCAGTTCTCTAATTTCCACAAAAAACTTGCAAAAATGGGTGATATATTAAATAAATATGTAAATCTAGAATATCTAGAACACAACTATATTTAATCACAAAAGAAAGTAGAGCTTCCAGATTACAGCCTGTACAGCATAAATGTTTCATCCTATATTAATGGGTGGTGGCACTTTATATACTGTACAATGACAGTTAGACTGTACGTCTGAAACACCTGCTCCTTCAGGACGAAGCAGCTACGGCACCTAAAACAGCTATAATGGGACAACAGTTAGTGTTACTATAACGATATCTGAGCAACCAGTCAACGTAAGCAGCGGCCTCAGGGGTAAAGACCAGGACAGAGACATGAGGTTTTTGTAAACCCACTCTTCTCCCTCAGTGCCCACAGGAAGACATCACTTGTTTCATGTAGGCAACGAACATAATGAGGGAAGGTTACAGTACTGAGATAAAATAAAAATAAATATAATTCTATAGATTTTGTTATTTCATCAGTTGTCTCAGAGATAAAAAAGCATTTCTAACATATGGCTCGTAGTATTTTACAGGGAACCAATTAGACAAATGGATCAATCACATCAACTTCACAGATAATGTTTAGCTGTATTGTTAAAAAAGTACATCATTAACGTTCCATTTTAATAATGCTTAGTCATGCCACACGCTTAGCCTGCTGGGATAGCTGTCAGTCCTGGGGACCAGGAGGCAGGAGTTCATGAAAACACGCATCAGCAGACGCATAAAATTAGAACATAAGTCAAAATGTGTTTGTTCATTCTACCTCTTTTGGAAATAATTCTCATGGGGAAAGGTAAGAGGATCAAATCAACGGTGAGAGGGAGCTTGGCACCAAGCAGAACGGGACTCCAGGGAGACCTAATCATCCTCATTGCTCTGCTGTGCTGCAGTGAAATAATCAAGTCCCACACAGAGGGAGCAGATGCTCTCTGTCTCCTTCAGGTACAGGTTGGTGTGGGGTGGTTCATTTTTAAATGTTTCTCACAAATTCAATTCAAAACATCTCATACTGAAGTTTCCCTACGTTGACAAAATACAAATTGAGTATTGCTGCTATCAATAGTGTTTTTTTAGGGTTAATAAGCAGACTGCCTTTACTATAAATAACATCTGATCTCCTTCTCCAGCTCAGAAAGCAATTTTATCCTAACAAGGAGATTATTTCTTACGTCACAGCACAATTTTCTGCCCTGTCCTGAGATTACGGAGGTGGCTTATGCTTGGTTTAAGCAGCAAGGAAAACAATGGAGCGGAGGCTCTGCAGGAGTCGACATGTGACTTCTGATTAGAAAGAGGGATGGACACTCACAGAGAGAGGGGTCAAAAGTGAAAAACCTGGTCAAGTTTGATCGTCTTATGATGATGAAAGGAGCTACAATAATAAAGAGTGTATCGTTACACATACGTGCACTGTAATTACGCATGCTCCTCGCACAACTAAACTACTCATTATTTTCCCGTGCAGTTTAATTACTGGGATGCACGAGAACTTTAACTAGAATTGAAGTCATCACCACACTTTGAGAGAGCGCGGGCCAAAAACGAGGGCAAGTTTTCCATGTCCACAGAGGGAAACGGGTAACAGGAGATGAGCGACACACCAATTAAAAAGGTCCGAGCATCAGAGACAGGGCTCAGTGTTACACCTGAGGGCTCAGGTAATCAATGTTGTCTCCTTATCTTCCGACTTTCCTGCTCACTCAGGACAAAAGAGGACGCAATTAAAAAACAGGCTTCTGAGATCAAGCCTGGGATAATAACCCAACTAAAGTATTTAAATTAATTCAAGAAGTAAATCATTTCTATTAGCCATGGAAGTACAACAAAACACCTAAACTGACTAAGACAGCACTTGTGTGAGGCAGCCAATGTCTTTTATATATACTTTTATGTATATGTATAACTTTTATATATATGGTGAACATAACACCATCTGTTTTAAGATTATTTAAAACATTTTTTCAGGTGCAAAATATACAAAAATACAGGCAGAGGGCAGTGTCCCCTGCATCCAGCGTACACTTGTCTTAGTCTCATATATGTGCATTATTAAAACAAAAATACATGCTTTCAACTTTTTATCTATTGATTTTGTTCGTATCAACCTTAGCCCGATGAAAGGGTAAGTAACAGTGAGTAACTGTAATGTAGTCGAAGTTTAAACTGCTCCAACACACTTTTTAAATGTGTCCTAAAAGCCGTCATGTGATCATCTGAACCTGCGACCTCTGCTAACAAGCCTGATCGTCTAAGGCGGATTTCGACCTACGATTGAATAAAAAAGACTTTTACGCGTCCTCAGCATCCACTGTTACAGTCGCAGGCAAAAGTATGGAAACAGTGGCTGTACAGAAACACTCTATATCCTCAGAGGAAAAGAGAGGTTTAAGTTCACCATTAGATCAGGCCTGAAAAAAACACAAGAGGTTTATATATAAAATGAAGTCTCAGCGGTTTGGGGTCTGTTTTTAGTCCTGGTTGTTTTGCATTAACAGGCACAGACATGCAGCTCGTCTGGTTGATGAGGAGCATCTCTCTACACTTAGTGTCACAGGGGACACGTGTGTTTCCATTAGACCAGCTGGGCTCTAAACACTTCCACTTTCCTTCAGGACAACAGCCTTAGCTGTAAAGGTTCGCGGGGTCACAGCCTTCCAGTTTCTCCTGTCGTCTGTTGCCAGCCTCTGTCGCCCACCAGAACGGAACACGGGCCATGTGATGGCAACAAAGACAACACTCCTACGCTGACCTCACAGCAATGTCAACAGCGACAGGTGTAAGGAGGCCATGGAAATGGTGTTTAGATGTGAAGTAATCTGTCCTGAGGATGGATCTTCTCACTTGGACGTGAAGTTTGTCAACAGCAGACGGTGATGGTTGACCTATGCAACAGAGTTGGCCCACATCCGAGCAACTGCATGGTTACAGGTTCTCTGCAGCCTATGTGTGCACAACTGAACAGGTCTACAAGTCAACACTGAACCTTGATGATCCAGGTCCCTGACAGACAGAGCTCAACTTAGATTTTTCTTCCAGGACAAGGCATCTTCAACTTTTCTTTAGTGACTTTTTGCGAACCTTTCCTTAGTGACTTGAAATTGGAGTTTCACAATGACTAGATTTACATGAGACAATCTTATTTTTTGACTTGCCTCAGAAGTAAACCAAACTTTGTACTTATGACTTTTCTTTGGTGACTTGGGGCTCTGACTCAGTTTAGCCTCAGTGACTCAGAATACTCGCACATTTTAAACTTCTCTTGGACTAGATTCGATTCCTTTCTCCACTGACTCGATGGGCTTGAGTCAACCTCATTTACTGAGATAGACTTGTGACTTCTGACCTGACTTTTACCTGACCCAAACTTTACTGGATGACTCGGACTTGACTCAAACTTTTACTTTAAGACTAAATATCCAAAGCTCATGACACATTAATCCATTTCAACCCTCTGTATATACCGTGTGACCATAATTAGAACGGCTAACTTCAAACGCATTTGATTAAAATCCAATATTTTAACCATGTTTTCTTGATAAATAGTGATTTGATTTACTTCAAGCCTACATACAGCATGTGTTCTGCTTTTCAGACCTGCATTCAACATCATACATCAGAATTTTTACACAATTCAACTCTATTCATAGAGTTTCTATTCATATCTAGGAATATCAGCTTTTTTTTTCAAAGAGAATTTAATGGCAGGGGTCTGTGTACTCATTTTCCAGGATGCCGACTACAGTGTAACTGGTGAATCAATACATGTTTGTTAGTCATGTTGGGGGTCATCAATGGAAACATGAAAAGACTTTTACGTAATCGAGAGAACGTCAGGACAAAAGACAACAGCCGAGGCTGCTTAACCAATGTTTTTAGCCGATCACTAAAACCTCATGGATGAGAAAATGAGCAGCAGCAGCAGCAGCAGCAGCAGCAGCGGCAGCAGCAGCAGCAAGCG